ACTCATTTTTGGTTTTGTCTAGAAAGTCTTTTTAGAATCTTCCAGGAGGAATCTCTCACTGTTATTTGACTTAATTTTGTTTTGTTTTTCCTTTTGAGACGGAGTTTCGCTCTGTCACTCAGGCTAGAGTGCAGTGGCACGATCTCAGCTCACTGCTACCTCTGCCTCTTGGGTTCAAGCGATTCTCCTTGAACTGATTGCCTCAGCCTCCCCAGTAGCTGGGACTACAGGCGACTGCCACGATGCCCAGCTAATTTTTTGTATTTTTAGTGGAGACGGGATTCACCACGTTGGCCAGGCTGATCACTGGCCAGGCGTGAGCCATCACATCCAGCCAACTTAAAATTTTTTGACTTTATGATGGTAGGAAAGTGTGATACACGTTCATACTTTACTCATACATTCTGCTTCTCACTTTCATTACAGTATTCAATAAATTACATAAGATAGGCTGGGTGCCGTGGCTCATGCCTGTAAGGAGGCTGAGGCGGGTGGATCACAAGGTCAGGAGTTCGAGACCAGCCTAGTCAAGATCGTGAAACCTCATCTCTACTGAAAATACAAAAATTAGCTAGGTGTGGTGGTGTGTGCCTGTAAATCCCAGCTACTCAGGAGGCTGAGGTAGAAGAATCGCTTGGGGGAGACAGAGGTTGCAGTGAGCCGAGATCATGCCACTGAACTCCAGTCTGGGTGACAGAGCGAGACTCTGTCTCAGAAAAAAAAAAAAAATAAGATAGTCAACACTTTATTATACAATAGGCTTTGTGTTAGATGATTTGCTCACATGTGGGCTAATGAAAAGCGTTCTGAGCATGTTTAAGGCAGCCTAGGTTAAGTTATGATGTTTGTAGGTTATGTGTATTAAATGCATTTTTGACTTATATTTTCAACTTATGATCATGAGTTTGTCGGTACATAACCCTGTCATAAGTTGAAGAGCATGTGGACTTGTAACATGTTCCTGCATTTGCTGTGGAAGTCACTAACCCACAGCAGCTGGAGTCAGACTGCCTGGGGTGGAATCTCCACCCCCTCTACTGAGTACTTTTGTGACTCTGAGCATGAAATTAAGCAGCAGTTTTACTAAATTTATATTTTATTAAACACCTTGTGATATTGTGAGATAGTAAGAAATGTGTGTTTGGTTTTCCCTGTTCCCTGACACAGAGCTTCCAAACCCCTTAGAATTTCCTGAGGGATAAGGGTGAGAGGAACATCTTTTGTTATTCACTGTTCTGTCAGCCTCACCTGAGTTTGTGCTAATGAAGTGACTTTTGGAAAATGGGGGGTGGTTGCCAGAGGCAACCATGTGATTAGAGAGTTGGAACTTCAGCCCCACCCCCGACCTCTGGGGAAAGGAGAGGCTGGAGATTGACAACAGCCAATTATTTAATCAATCCTGGATCTGTAAGGAAGCAGCTGTAAAAGCCCTAAATGATGGGTTTCAGAAAGCTTCTGGGTCGTGAACAAACGGAGATGCTGGGAGGGTGGCACTCCCTTGAGGGATGGGAGCTCTGTGCCGCCCCACCCTGACCATATCCTAAGCTGTTTCCTTTATGATGGGCTGGTCATGAATTGTTTCCCTGAGTTCTGTGCAAGTTACCAAACTTAAGGGGTTGTAGACCAATCTGTAGCCAAGTCAGAAGTGTGGGTGACCTGGAGACCCACTACTTGCCATTGGTATCTGAAGTGGGGGAGTCTTGTGGACTGAGCCCTTAACCTGTAGGGTCTGCACTAACTCCAAGTAATGTCAGAATTGAAATCTAAGACCCCCAGTTAGTGTCTACAGATAACTGAACTGCTTGATGTGGAAAATCCCCACATCTGGAGTAGAGGAAAAGCTTTGTTTTTACAGATATAAAGCTCTGTGTCCTGAGTGTAACCACCCAGTGGGTTCACCCACCACCTAGACAGAGCCAGTTTATCAAGACAATTCATGCAGAGCTGGCTATGCGGGTGACAACCGGAGTTTTATTACTACTCAAATCAGTCTCTCGGGGATCAGAGTTGTTTTTTTTTTTTTTTTTTTT